CTCAGGAAGACTTCTTTTCATCAAAATTCAACTAAGCACCTACTATGTGTCAGACTCTTAGACATGCCTGCAGACCCCAAACATCAGGTCTGCTAGTGTGTTGTGTGGTGCTGTCAAGAAGGAGCTATGATTTCCCAGTATTATCAGATCCAGTGAAGTACTCAGTGAGAATAAAGGCTGGAGAATTAACCCCAACCAAATCCTAGTGCTCCTTAGGCTGCAATTATGCCATTCCCTGTTGTCTTCTGGAGGGCAGGATGTATTGGGCGGGAGGGAGAGTGAAGGAGAAGCCCACTTGGGCTGTATTCTACAAAATTATTGGCAATTATTCGAAAGGGAAAGGAATTGCAACATCAGGGAATCAAATCCTCCTAACATTTGCTTATCCAGAATTCCCTTCTTTGCCTATTTTCTGAGAAGGAGGTTACCTCTTTCATGAAGTTTTTGTTTTCAGATTTAAGAATGGACTTCACTCCCTTTTTTGCTTCTATTGCTATTTGTAAGGTCAGCTACCACTGTCTCATAGCTATATTTATCTATTTAAAATGTTGTCTTCCCCAACCAGACCTAGATTTTCTCTATGAAAGGACCGAGTCCATTTATCTTTTCCTTCTCAATACCTGTGAGTGCCTGGTACATAATGCAGCTTTGTAAATACTTGTAAAATGAAAAAATGAATGACTAAATAAGTAAAAATGAATGAATAATAAACACATTTCTAGTCTTTGGCTCTCTGTAGGCAGCACTAAATTATGTTGCCTATTTGGCTCCTGGTGGCATTTATGTTGTAGTCCCTGCTGTAGGTGATAATTAATTAAAATTAGGATCAGCTGGAGTGTTAGAAAATCGTGAAATACCTGTGGCTTAACAAGAACTGTAGTTTCTTTCTTTCTCATGTGAAAGTCTGAAAGAAACAGCCAGGCTTTGCGTGGTATTCCATGGTTTGTTTCTATCTTGCTGTTCATGACCTCCACTGCTAACGTTATTTATGACCCAAAATGATTACTCCAGCTCCAGCCATCACATTTGTATTCCATCCTGCAGAAAGGAAGAAAGAAGGTAAAGGGCATATTATCACTCTTTAAGGACACTGCTTAACGTTGCATACTCCATTTCTATGTAAATCCTATTTATTATAACAGGAGTAAGTCACATGGCCACACCTTGCTCAGAGGAGGTTGGAAGAAATAATTTTTGTTGTTAATAGCCACCTAAAATGTGAAAGTTATATTACCATTGGAGAATGATGATTGAAGAACAACGCATGATGTCTGCTCTCCTAACCATTTGAGGTTTTTTCCTTTGTTTTTTGGCAAGAGAGTGGCCAGGTGAAATCAGTAGTATAGAAAGATCAATATGGTGGCTGAAAAGATTAGAGAACGAGGATACTGGAGTCAAGGAGACCAGTAGGAGGCAGTTTCACAAAAGTCCAGAGAGATGAGAAGATGAAATAGGACAGTAGCAGTAGATGGGATGGAAGGGTAGATGCAGACAGGTAAAGCTGTTTGGTGGTAAACTAGTCCATGTCCGGTGAACATGACTGGGGTGAGGAAAAGGAAGGAGCGTAGAATTAGGCTCCCTTTGTGACTGGCGCCCTTGGAAATGGGGCTGTAACTGACTGATTTTGGGAAATTCACCTCAACAGGTGAGGTAGAGATGAGTACTGAGAACGTTGATTTTGATTTGGGATGCTTGAAGAGCTAAGCACTGACTGATCCAGGTAGGATAAGTCAGTGTTGATCCTAGAGTTTCCTTCTAAAACTAGGTAACCCCTAGAGTTTCCCAGAATCACCCAACTCTAGAGTTTACCTGGATCAGTCAGTAAGAACGGACATTTAGCCCAGTTGGAATGAGTGTAGTGGAGCAGGAACATACTTGGAGGGTGAGGGTGGGGTTATCTTCCTGTCTTCTCCCCGGTGGTCCTTGTTCTGTTAGAAGAGCCCCTGTTGTCATAGGGGCTACCAACCAATTCTCAGAAGAGTTTGAAAACGGAAGTGGATTTAAATTTTTGGTAATTAAAATGGAGGCTATCAGCATGTGCCTGGAGTCCTGCTGCTGCTGCAGTGGAAGTAGGGAGGGGTTCTCAAATCCACAGTCAAGCCTCTAGGCAGCATCCTGACTCCAGGGGGAGGTGCTGGGAAGCTGGGGAGGGGCAGCCACGTGCCAGCTGGCTGTGCCAAGTAAGGGAGTCGCACGCCTGGGGTTCTGCCATGTGTTTGTTTATTTGGTTTGGCTGATGTAAAACATACACACACAGACTCACAGCCTTAGGGCCTGTGTGCAGAGCCCATGTTTAATCCTCAACTAAAATCAGGAACAGCGCAGGAAAAAAGGAGGAAACCAAAATAGCAGAATACAACCAGGTAGCAGAGTCTGTTCATTCATTCATTCATTCACTCATTTAGCAAATGAATACCAGGCACCATACAGGGCACTGGGGGAATCGTGTGAATACAACATGTCCCCAAGGAGCTCCAAGACAGGGTCTGGGAACAGAGACAAGGGAAGAGGTCATTTTAGTACAAAGTGAAAGGTGCATGATTCAGATTTACAGTACAGCTCTGATCTGGTCATTTCCTGGCTCAAAATATGACAGGGGTTCCCCTCATATCTAACCAGGCTTTCATAGGCCTGATATCACACCCTCAAACCTTCACCTATGCTCCAAGTTCACAGGAATTCAAGCAGCTCCAGGATCACGCTGCTCCTTACTTCTGACCTGCTCACACTCTGTTTCTCCTGCTTGTTAGGGCCTTCTTTCTTCTGTTCTTTGTCGCTTCCCACTCAGCCTTGAAGGTCAAATGTCATCATCTCCCAGTGACCATCCTCTGGGTCCTCACTACATACCCTGCAGCCTTTTTTCCTGGCACTGCTCAACTGCTACTTTCACCTGCCCATCTCCCCCATGGCCTGTGAGCGAATCCAGCAGATATGGATCTTGTCCACATCTGTATCCTGGCAGCTAATCGATGCCTGGCACAGAAATACTCTTAATAAATGCCTGTCCAAATGAACGGACATAATTTAGTGCCACCAAGGATAGCCTCAATGTGCTGTGATTAAAATACACTTGGATTCTGGAGTCAAACCCTGGGCTCTATCACCTCCACCTTACTATTCCCTTCTTGAGCCTCAGTTTTCTTATTCTTCAGCTTAAGCTGACAATATTTCTGAGTATGTCTTATATGAAAACACATTCTTTGGTGTGTGTTTACCTTTCTTTCTTTAATGTGATAAACATGGAGTGTTTATTTATTACTTTTATGATTATCCTCCTAAGAAAAAGACAAGGCCCTGCTCTGAGGAGTGAAGACACAATTCACCAGGCAGGAGGGATGGCTAAGTTCAAAGTCTTGAGAAGTGCCTCTCATGGACACCCCAGAATGCCTATCTCCAGGTAAACACCGGGTAATATGGCCTTTCAGGTCATTATGAAGTTGCATTTGATAACATGAAAGAGTGAAAACATTCTATAAGTTCATCAAGTTTGTTTCCTTGATGCGTAACATTTAAATGTTTAGATATATAGTGTTTCGGGCTCTAGTTAGGTTGGGCTGCATTTTAATCAGTTTTGGCTGCCACAACAAAATATCATAGATGTAGTGATTTATGAACAATAGAGATTTGTTGTTCATGGTTCTGGAGGCTGTGGAGTTCAAGATCAAGGTGCTGGCTAATTTGATATTTGGTGAGGGCTCTCCTTGCTGTGGCCACATTTTTGCAGTGTCCTCACATGGCAGAAGGCAGGAGGGGAGTCTCTTTTTATAAGGATGCTAATCCTAACCTGAAGGACGCATCCTCATGACCTAATTACCTCCCAAAGGCCCTGCTTCCAAATACCATCGCATTAGGGGTTAAGGCATCAACATGTGACTTCTGGGAAACACAGCTTTTCTACAGCAGCCTTCCTTGGTATCCTTGCTGTAGGCTCCATAGACATTAGGTGTGGGCCTTGGATGATGGAAGTGCAGGGGAGTTAGCTTCCCATGCGGCACCCTGACCAGCGAGAAAGGGAAAGGGAAAAAGAAGGAGCCAAATACATAAATACCCAGTTAAAAGAAAAAACTTTAGACAAATTAAACTTTACAGAGTTTAATTGGGCAAAGAACGATTTGCGAATCAGCCAGCCCCCAGAACCAGAATAGGTTCAGAGCTATTCCACATGGTCGAATATTTATGGACAGAAAAAGGAAAGTGACCTAGCGAAACCAGAAGTGAGGTACAGAAACAGCTGGATTGGTTACAGCTGGGCCTTTGCCTTATTTGAACCTGCTTTGAACAGTCAGCTGCCTGCGGTTGGCTGAGACTCTGCTACTTGTTACAAGAGTAGGTTACAGTCTATTTACACGTAAAGTTAGTTTACAATTCACTATGTATGGATAAACCTTTAGGCCAAACTTATAATATACATGGAGGCAGATGTAAGCAAACTTAATTCCACAGCTCCTTCCCTTCTCTCCTCTTCCTTTCTCCACCAGCCTTAAAGGTGGTTTCTCCTTGCAAATGATCCAGAGAAATTCTAAGTGCTGCAGCTTACCTACCCAGCAAGCTGCTGTGTCTCAGGGAGAATCACAGGGAGGTGGTGGCCAGCTGCTGTGCATCACATTGCATCTTTTCTTGCCTCATTTCTCTTTTCAACTCATTCTCACCACCCCTGGGCCTTATCGTCAAGGCCCTGGTTTTGCTTCTTCTAAATGTCAGCATTTTAGCCTTGGGCTTTGCTTACTAGGGGACTAAGAGTTAAGAAACTGTCTCTGTCCTTTACTAGTTATGACTCTGAAGCAGGTTACTTGACCTCTTGTGCCTCAGTTTTCTCCTCTTTAAAATGGGGATAAATGATAATAGCTCTCAAAGAGAGTTCCTGTGAAGAGAAGACTAAATGAGTTACTAATATGTCAATTTACTGCTCATAACTGTGAGCTTTTATAATTCTTCTTTCTTCAAGGATACTGTATTAGTTTGCTCAGGGCTGCCATAACAAAATACTACAGACTGGTGGCTTAACCAACAGGAATTTATTTTCTCATAATTCTGGAGACTAGAAGTCCAAAGTCAAGGTGTCAGCAGGGTTGGTTTCCTCTGAGGCCTCTCTCCTTGCTTGCAGCTGGCTGTCTTCTTGCCATGCCTTCACATTGTCTTTTCTCACTGTGTGCTCATCCCAGGTGCCTCCTTTTCTCTTCAAATTTCCTCTTCCTGTAAGGACACCAGTCAGATTGGATTACAGCCTACTCTGATGGCCTCCTTTTAACTTAATCACCTGTTTCAAGGGCCCATCTTCAAATACAGTCACTTTCTAAAGTACTGGGGCTTCAACATATGAGTTTTGGAGGAACACCATGTAGCCCAGCATAGACACTCTTTAAGTGCTACCTCTATGTAGGGTGACCAGCTCAACTCAGTTTGCCTTGGATTTTCCTGGTTTTAATACAGAAATTCCAGCATCCCAAGGAGTCCCTCAGTCCTGGGCAAGCCAGGAAGATTGGTCACCCTAGTTCTTTCTGAAGCTTTATCCAAGTCTTTTGCAATATGTAAGGACTAGAGGAACCCAATATGTATCTAGAACTCCATCCTTCCCAGTGGACTTTGAGAGCCATTAACTTTTTTAATCCTCACTTCAGCTTTGCGAGGTAGGTGGGGGAGGAAACAATATTCCAGTTACATAAAGGAAGAAATAGGCTCAGAAAAATTCATATTGGCTCCCCTGGCCCTGCTTATCTTTCTCTGGGTTCTTTCATTACTAGGTGCTTCCAAGACCAAGAAAACCAGGCAATCATAGTAGATGCATCAATACACCCTTTCCCAAGGGCCTAGACAAGAGGTAAGTAACCAGGATGTATCAGTGAGTGAGTCCTGAAATTTCTCTAGTGCTATTTGAATTAAAGAAATTAAACAGACAACCATACCTATACTACTTGGGTAGCCGTGATAGGTGAGCCACGGTCTGGGCCTTAGAGCAAATGACTCTGGCTGAAAAGCTGGAGGGTGGGTGGGGAGCAGGGAGAGATACAGGCTGTGTTTGAGGATCTGCTCTGAAAGGCAGGGAGGGAAACCATTGATTAGTGAGCTTTGTTTGATCTGCTCAAGGATCAAAGGGACATATACCATGTGGGAAGATAAAAGTTGACCTGGAAACCCTGTGTCCCAGCCTGCTGGGATCCAATCTGTCTTAGGCCTATGGGTCAGACTGGAGGACTCTTATAGGAATCATGGGCAAGACTGCAAGCTCACTTCTTCCTCCACCTGACCTCCGACCCCTCCCCTACCCGTTTCCTTTAAGAAGAGCTTTCTCTCGCCCCTTGGGCACTCCCAGGGTAAGGGGTACTCAAGGTTAAAAGGAGGCCCAGAGATCAAGCATTATTTCTGGCCTTTGAAGAACATGAAGAAGTCATCAGATGATACGTGATGAATGCTATGATTAAACGGAGCTTGGAAGACTGAAGGTATACCACTGAGAAATCCCTAAACCTACCCTGTGGGGACAGAGGAAGGCAGCCCAGCTTATGCCTCAAGGAATAAATTGATAGAGGAGATGGTTTCTGATTTTCTTTTGGGAGGAGGGAGAGGAGGAGCACATGCACAAAGCTAAAGAGGTGATTAACACCATGATACAGTAAGGACCAGCCAATATTAACTGAATATCTAATCTGTGCCAGGCAGGACCTCCATCATCTCATGGAATTGCAATGGCATTCACTGTGGTGACCCTGGGATTCTTTCATTTCATAATGGAATGAGCAAAATGAGGCTAACAAAGGTTGGGTAACTTGCCTGAGGTCACACAGTTGACATATGGCAGAGCTGGGATGTGAATACAGATCTGCCTACTTGAAAACCTGATTTCTCACCAGTGAAGGTGTGGTTATATCCATGTTTTCAAAAGTTCCCTCTGGTTGCTGGGTGTAGACTGGAGGAGCTAGAAGTAGTGTTTGAGGAACCAGTTAGGACTGTATTGCAATAGTTTCAGGTAGCTGGTATAATCTCCTAACCCACAAGATCAGGTGTGCAAAAAGGAAGCGGATTTTCTATAAACTTGAAGCCAAGACCAGTGTTGGTGGATATTTAATCTTAGTTCCAGTATTTCTCCATCTCTTCCTTCTCCCCATGGTAGCATCTAAGTTCTACATGAGGAAGGGATTATATAGCATCAAGCCATGGAATGAGGATGGATGAGAGTTGGAGTTGGGGGCTGGCGAGGTCTATCGTCTATTTATACTGTGACATCCAGGGTCCTCCTGGTCACTTTTTCACTAAGATCATCATGTGGCCTTTTCATTTTCTAGGCAGGGAGGTCTAGACCCTACTTTTTTGAGGACTCTCCAGCTATGCTTTGTGGGAAATACAATAGGTCTGAATTAGGCCCTAAGCCTAGATGTCCAAAGCAACTACACCTAACCTTCCTGTTCTGTTCCCTAGCAGCTAACAGGAGACTTTTGGAGGTTGCCGTCTTTCCAGGCTGAAGACGGAAAGTGGAGCACAGGCTCTCTTTGTTTTCAGATCCTTGAAATAAAGGGGAGAACTATCCCCTGCTTCCCAACTTTGGGCTCAGCCTAGTCAGGCAGGGGACAGAGGCCCTTCTCAGAGGTCCACACATGTGTTCACTTGATTAATTTTCTCTCTATCTGCCAATTCTATCAGCTCTTTAAATTTTATGCTTTATATAAGTATTCTTTCTAGTCTATTGTTCAGGCTAGGATTTTGGCTGTTGCATCAATAATTAATTTGCTTGTTTCTCTTTGTATTTCTGTTATAGCTACCTTTCTCTGAGGCAATGGATACTCATGCTTTATGTTCTAGTTTTAATGCAAGAAAGGCCATGGATGCATAGAAATAATAGCGGGAACAAAAGCACTGGGGTTAATATTCCAAAGTATTATTCTGTTATACATACAGGATTCTGAAGGTCTGGATCATGACAGTGGCAGTAGGGGAGGCAATGAGGGAGTAGATTAGAGAGAGCTTTGAGGATCAGAATCCAAATGTTTTGGCGACTGGTAAAATCTGGATGAAAAGGAAGAGAGATGTTTTCTGTGTCTCATTCAGGTGTTGTTTATCTTCTCATGAGTTTTATCACCTTGCCTAGAATCAGCCACCATCTGCCAGGGTAGTCTGTGCTGGGTCATGTCATATAGAGCTGAATCAAGAGTACAAATTACTGTTGGAGAAAATTAAATGTGGTGAAGGAATGAGTACCAGGAGTCCAGGGAGGAGGAACATCCAAGTGCAAAGATCCTGAGGCAGGAGCAGGCCTTGTGTGTTGAAAGAACAGCAGGAAAGGCAGCAGGGCTGGAGGGGAATGAATGAGGGAGGATGAAGGAGCAGAGGAAGACATAGAGAGAGAAAAGGGCCAGGTCATGGAGATGAGATCCAGCAGGGGCGGTAAGGACTCTGGATGTTTTTTAAAAAGATTGGAAGCCACAAAAAGATTTTGAGCAAAGAATTGACATGACTAAATGCTGTTTTGACAGGGTTAGCCCGTAAGTGTGCTGTGAATAGACTGTGAAAGTTAAGAGCAGAAGTAGAGCAGCCAGTTTGGAGATTATGGCAAATGGGCCAGGGGAGAGGTTATGGTGCCTGCTACCAGAGCAGTAGCTAAGGAGGCAATGAGAGATGAGATTAGGGATATTTCTTTAATACATTTGCTGACATTTAGGTATTGACTGTGAGCAAAGGAGAGGAATACACAAAAATGTGGGCACACTGAGGAAAGATGCTGCCATTGGACAGGTTTGCTGGGACACAGTTTCTAAGCCTTTTAAGATTTGAGTGCAGGAGGTTTGTTGGGGTGCATTCTTAGAAACAACACCTTTGAAGGGGTGAATGCAGCCCAGAGACGGAGAAGTTGTGCTGGGATGCAGTTACAACAGAGGCTGCAGCTGACCACACAGGAAGCTTAGGAACTGGAACGACCCTGTCTAATAGTCCCATTTGAGCAAAAGGGCCAGACCTTTGTAGCCCCACATCAACCAGCCATTATCAGTGGGGCACTGCCCCAGGGATGAGGCATAACCATGGATGAGGTGGCTTCTTTTTGCTGAGCAAGTCCTGGAGAGAGATTCTCCTGTGACTCAGTAGCACCCAATACTACTGGCAGCCCAGGGGGTGAGAGCCTGAGTCCTAAAGGGTGACTGGGTGACACACCACACACTGTCCACTGCAAATGCCCATACCAGTCTAGGCAGGGAAAGGTCAGGGAGGACTTCCTGGAGGAGATGATACCTATGCTGGTTTCAAAGCACCCCATGCTACTTTTCTCAATTATGTGATTTTATCATGAGCAAGAAGGTGCTTGAACACTACCCTAACTCAAATACCCTAATTAGGTTCATTTGTTAAATCTTCAATGAAACTGAACTCTGATGTTAATTGCCATTTAAACTAAAGCATTTTCAGATCCCCAAATTATAACAAATTCCTCTGATTTATAGCTAGGCCATTATATTTTTTTAAAAAAATTATTGATTCAGAACATACATTCATTCAGAGAATACAACTGAGGCAAAATTGATATTCCAATTGGTTCAAATTTCTGGCAACCAAATATTCCTCAATAAACAGAATCCTAGCATGCTGATATTTTTAATAGCTCTTATTGGCAGGAAATCCCCTCGAAGAGCTAATGTAAATCCTTTTTGGTACAATTTGGGACATTTCGTCTAGATTTTTCTGCAGAGGAGTGGGAGAATGACTGGCAGCCGGATCTATGTGATAGGCTATTCCTGCACTTAAAGCCTGTTTATGAGGATGATTCTCATCATTCTGAGAGGAAAATGTTAGCATTAGACCCAGGAAACTGGCAGAATATATTATAAAATGTATGCCCAGTGACTAAGCAAGCATGTATGTGTGTGTGGTTACGTATTTGCAACTGTAAGTATGTGTAATGCTGTGTGTATATATCCATACACATATGTAGGCAAGTATGATGAGTATTAGGAGAATGTGTACATGAGTAATTTTGTTTGTGTTTGTGTGAGAATCTTTATGTGTAGGGATATGTTTATAATGTCTGTGCAAGTGGTTCAGGTGTGTGAATATATTTAGGTTTGTGCATGTGTGTGTGTGAGAATGAACACATGTGGGCATGTCAACAGTTCTTCCCAGCTACATGAAGTTATCAGATATTATGGTTCCATGGCAAGAATATAAATGCCGAGGTCAGGTTTCTTGCCTGCATCAACATTACTCTAGTGATCTTGCTCCAGACATTTTCCTTAGGGGCCTCTCTGCTTCCTCCCTCTCTTCCCACCAGGGGTGCAGGCCCAGAGGGGCCTCAGACAGCTTCCTGGCCTTTGGAGTTATGCTCTGATGTCTGCCCCAGGAGCCTTGGCTGTGGCAGTCTTGTCATGTCGGACTCTGCTGTCACTGCCAAAGTGACAATTGATGATCAGGACTGGAGCTGCCCAGAAACCCAACTTCTGTGCGGGGCCCTTTGATCTGCCCAGACTTGGAGTGGAGCAGAGCCTGGCACAGGTGCCTTTGATGGGGCCAGGCCAATGAGGGGGCTGTAGGCTGGTCCTACCCAGTCCCTGCAGCCTTTGATGCCCACCTGCCCTGCAAGGATCAGGCTACAGAAACAGGCTAGTTGGGGTAGGAGCCAGCTGCACTACAACTCTGCTCCTCAGCTTCAGTGGAAAATCACCATCTGGGTGTTTGGCCTGGTGATGCTTGGATCTCGGGGCTGCAGAAGCCAATTCTTAGAAATATTGTTCTTGCAACCACCCATCTATCGATTCAGCTAGTATTTATGGAAAACTTACAGAGTCAGCAGAGCAAAGTTATTATATGCACAGCCTTTCGAGTCAGAATGCTTGGATTAAATTTGGCCACTTATTAGTTGTTCCAACTTGGGCGAGTTAAATAACTTGCATGTGCCCCTCTGTGTCTCCATTTTCTCATCTGTTATGAGGTTGTTATGAAGACCAAATTAGATAGTGCAAATAAGGCGCCTGATACCTATTAAGTCTTCACGAATGTTATCTGTTATTATTGCAGGGGGGCTGCATGGCTGAGTGGAGAAGTCTTATCAGCT